GGCATAAGTTCGGAACTAATGTAAATAGGGAATATTTTAGATGCAATGCTCATACAATACACCAACATAATGCTTCTAACTTCATCAGCTGACGCTGTTATCATAGAATAAGTCTGAAGTGTTTGTGTCTTTAAGAACACAAGGTACCCGTGACATTAGGCTTGAAGTGTATAAGTGTACAGGCGTATTGACATTATTCCCACTTTTAGGTCGAAGGCAGATACACAGAAGTTATCACGAGTTGAAAAACTTACTGAGATATTGCAAAGAAGGACAAAGGATGCTATTAAGAAACTTAATAGAACATTTCAAGTACTTTATGTAATCAAGGTTCGGACGTGTGTATACACCTGTGTATGCTTTCGGTACTTTAATATATCCTGCACAGTTGAGCAATTAAACATAAGAAACACAAATAAAGAAACTAATTTTTAAGGATTTTATCGCGTTTAATTAAAGTTTTTAATTTCCGACGTTTCGGGTGCTTTACAGCACCTATGGTCACGGACCCCGTGAGAGGTGTTCGACATCCCAATGTCATAGTTAGTCCGGCTGCCTTTAGCTTTTGAATATTCATTTTTGTCCAATCTACACAGAATAAGCTTACAGGATCTTGAAGTCTTGCAGTGGTATGCTTGGGGTTTAATTTAATTTAATTAGTTATAGGATGTACCAATGGTGGTACCCATTCATCTTCTATATTGAAACTAGGATGTTTTCTATTTCAATAGCCACGCGAAACATTCTAGGTAGAAGTCGGTGTTCTTTTGCGAGGATTTGTGGTCTACATAATTTATTAAGTCTAATCTATCAAATCTAATATAATTGCAGGGTCAATCATTAACATGTTCACGGACTGCAGACTTCCCAGGACCTCGGTGCTTCACGTCAGCTATATGTTATGTAACGTGGACTTTTATAGATTTTTTTGTTTGTCCTATGTACGAGAGACCACATTCTCAATCAAGCTTGTACACTTCTGCATCTTGTAGAGGAATATTGCACTTGACGTATGGTAAAATTGACTAATCTTCTTCGGCGGCTTGTAGTAGATTTAAATGGAAGCTCACTTTAAGTTGTAGCCAAACTTGTCTGTAACTCCTCTGACGCATGGAAGGAACAACTGTGGCCGGCTTCACTCGGTGACTGTGACGTAGCCGCGAGACCCGAAGCTTGTTTCTAACTGTGATGGATAGTGGTGATACTCACCGTTTAAATTTTCTTATACACAGTTTGACCAATAGTGTTATCAGAATTTCTCTGGAAATAATTCATTTCAATAATTCGTTCGTAAATAATTATTTGCGTCTAACTCAAAAGGTGAATTGTATTTAAGAGTTTATGCAGTTGAGGTGGTATAAAAATGTAGTTACTTTGTCAGATTTTGAAAGTACCGTTTACGTACCGCTTGTAGAATCTGGGATTTACAACAGCAGTAAGAAGGGCTTTTCCTCAAAGTCTTTTATGAATATGTCGGTGACATCGCCACACCGCTTGCTTACATGTCGAACTCTTACTTCCATAATAGATTGCCAGATGTGAGGCCGCGTTTGAGTAATATTGCATATTCGAATATCAACTAAAAATAATAATCGCGGAAGCTCCAAGATGTTAACTCAAGCAAGTAAAAAGTTGCAATGAACAGTGATTTAGCGTAAATGGTTCGGTCTACCATACATAGACAATTTGTCCAGTGAGTTAAAGCTTTAATTACATTTGATTTCTATAATTACATCTTTTGACGTTCCAGGAAGTCTGCAGTCTATGTTCAAGATCGACCTCGCCATTACATTAGATTTGATAGACCACAATTCCTCGCAAAAGAACACTATCCTACCCATAATGATTCGGGTGGCTATTGAAATAGAAAACATAGTAATTTCAATAGAGAAGACGGATGGGTACTATCATCTGTTTGGGATCCTATTATTAATAAAATTAAATCAAAACCAAGGCATACCACTGCAAGACTTCCAGATGCTGTAAGCTGATTCTGCATGGATCGGACCATAATCTAGTATTCAAAACTGAAGGTAGCCAGGCTAACTGACATGATATTGGGACGTCAAACACCTCCCGAAAAGTCGGAAATCAAAAAATAAAACGTGATAAAATCCGCAAAAATTAGTTTCATTTAAAAAATATTATTATATTCCTTTAAATATAACAATAAATTATTTAATAAAAATACGTTCCAATTGTTTTACAAAATAAAATTGATTACGAAGAAACACTTTCCTAATTTATTTCCGAAAGTTATATATGGCGGAGTTTTAACGAAAATGTCTTTGCAATATATTGCCTCACACTTCTATAAAGGAAATTGGAAGAAGGAAGCGAGTATTTTCTTGCTGACAATTTAATTCACCTTGACAATTTATAGCGAAGGAAATGCACTTGTTAATTTTTCTTTTACATTTCCGCATACGGCAACATATACCTGTACACTACACTACTGTACACTAACGTAACTTCCTAGGATAGTTTGTGGGTTAACTTGACAGTTAGATTAATTCTGCAAATGGATGTGGGTGCTATTCAATTTTCTTTCTTTCCATTTGTCGATTATCTGCATGTTGACTTGAGATTAGAAACTACTCGTAAATGCCAGTTAACAGAACAATAAAGACACTTGGTACTAGGATACAATGATTTCTAAGTTTCACAAAACGTGCGCATGTTAGAACTACCTTCAAATAGGAAATTAAAAAACAAAATTAATATTATGTTCAACTAAAACGGTTAAGATTAATTTGGCACGATGTCTAAATTGATAAACCACAGATTAAATAATAGTTAACACTGAGTAATGATGAAAGAACTAGCGTTGAATATTTAGACCCGAAAGTCGAACCTTTAAATGGAAAGTTGAAAAATAATTATTAAATAAAATATAATAATTATTTTTAACGTTTATATATATATATATATATATATATATATATATATATATATATATATATATATATATATATATATATATATATATATATATGTTACGGATAATAGCTGAAGTGAGGTTTCACCTAGTTTTAGCAGACTACAACTAGGTACAGCCGACCACATGCGGTTAAACTTACATGTATTCTACTTATCTTCGGTTAGAACTAGGTTTAGCCTTCATCATAGCGGTTAGTACTAGGTGCAGCCACACACTGGTGGTTAAACCTAGGTGTATCCTATTTATGATCGGCTACAACTAGGTTTTCAGTTCAGTTAAGCATTTTGGTTTTGTTTTGAGATTCTTGTCCTGCGTTTCCCGATTGATTCTTTTACATTGAAAAAATAAAAGACAGCCATGTTGAAGTGACATTTATAATTATGCTTAATTAATTAATAAAACTCACAATTTAAAACTTCTCTGCAGAAGTAAAAGAACTAGACATCTTACGCGCAAAAAAATGTTAAAGTTAAAAAAATTAAGTTTTACTAGGAAATAATCAACCAAGTTATTGTACTCCTCGCTCACATTTTTATGTTAAAACAAATAAGATCTCTTTGACTCAGTCTTAATTATTATAAAAAAAAAAAAACAATCAACAAACTCTTCATGTGCTAGTAAGTTGCAAGAATCTATCACTTATTCAATCAAGATAAACTTGAATGACATTTAGAATTACACAAAATACCGGCTGCTTTACAGAGGCACTTTCAATTACCACATTTATTTTTGCAATGGCATCTTTTGTATCCTTGTCCTCCAGTTGTGGATATGGCATTAGCTATTTGGCGTAATGATTTTTTTTCGGGAGAAACAATATCAACGTTTAAAAATTTCGCCTCGCATACAGTGAATTGATTCCTAGAAAATAATTCAGTAATAGTGCCAAACTGGTTACCCAATTTATACAGTCCATCATCATTACAAGGGATCAAGAGGATTGCGGAGGCTCGTCTAGCTACGCTGAATGTATGTCGAGCAATGAATGATAAGATGGATGAAGTATGCGATATGATGTATGATAGAGGATTAGATGTATTATGTGTAAATGAGACGAAGCGGAAGGGAAGGATGTCAATACACATGGCATATATACTGCGTACTGGTCCGGTGTAGACGAGACCGAGCGAGCATGCCAGGGAGTCGGTATCATCCTTTCAGAAAGAATAGTCAATGTGTGAAAGAGTATGAATGTGTCAAAAAGGCACGTATGGCAATTCACAATGCTGTATTAGTCCCTACTTTAACATATGGTAGTGAAAGTTGGGTGTGGCAGAAGAAGCACGAGAGTAGAATAAATGCAGTAGAAATGCGGTCGTTAAGGAGTATGTTAGGGCTGAATCTGAGTGACAAGGTGAGAAACTGTGTGATAAAAGAAGAGTGTGATTTGCAAGATGATACATTGACCAGGATTAAGAAAGGAATGCTTCGGTGGTTTGGTCATGTAGAAAGAATAAATGCGGAAAGATTGACAAAGCAAATGTATGTTGCAGAAATGAATGGAAGAGTCGGAAAGGGACTTCATAGGCGGAAATTTGTCGACCAAATTGGCGATATACTAAAAATGGGCCAAATTAAGAGTACCCTTAACCAACGAGCATGTATGTGTAGGTATATGGATGTGTAGGTATATGGATGTGAAGGTATGTCACGATCGTGCTAAATGGAAGTTTGTTGTCTCTGCCTACCCCTCTGGGTGACAGGCGTGAGTGTTTATGTTTGTCATCATTACATTTAAGTACAACCATTAAAACATTGGGAAAGTCGCCTCTACTTCAATCAACGTCAGGAATTTTCACCCGAACTGTGTTACCTATTTTTCACGGAGGAAACTTTTTATTAGATAATGCTGTCATTTTATTTGCTTGTACTGTCAACGAATCTTTTGCGCCTTTTCTATTAGTACCTATTATCTGCCGTTTAGTACAGAGGTCACATTTTTCATTTTTGTTTTGATTACAAAGCTCGCAGTCTGTTCTGTTTTTTGCTGCTTCTCCTACAGTTTCTTCCTGATTTACATCTGTTATTGTCTCACTTTCAGCATTATTTCCGTCTCCTTCTAACATCTTAAGAATTTGTTCCAAGTCTTCACGTTCTCTATATTTTCGATTGTCTCAGTTGGAAGTGCTGAAGATCTTAGGTCCACTTTTACGTCACAACCGAACATAGCCTGGTAAGGTGACCTTTTAATTCCGTGATCATAGGCTCTATTTTTCATAAGTTGGACAAATCTAAACCCTTCTGACCACTTTTCGCAGTTTTCGTCTTTCATCCAAGTCATCAGCATAATTTGAACGTTTTGATTGGCACGTTCGACACTGCCCTGTGACTGGCTGTGGCGAGGTTTCCCGTGCATAATTTTCAGACCTGGCCACATTTGCGTCAAACTTTCCACAACTTGATTAGGGAATTCCCTTCCATTGTCAGACTGGAGTATTGAGGGTGATCCAAATATACAAAATATGTCAAGGAGTATCTTTGATACTTCCTCAGCAGTTTTACTTTGTAAAGGACGTAGTTGTATGAATTTAGTGAGATGATCCTGATAAACTAAAATAAAATTGAAATTTCCATCAGGACTTGTTTGCATGTCTATCAAGTCTACCTGACAACGAATATTCTCATCACACAAAATAGGTTTAACGACGAGACCTATTCTAAGAGATTTTTGCTTCATTTGACATGGCTTGCATAAGTGAAGGCATAAAAGAATAGCCTCTTGAGTTATATTTGCATACCTTTTTTTTTTGCTTCTGCAACCATTCTGTTTCTCCCACCGTGTCCAATAGATAAATGTATTTCATGAAAAATATCGAACAATTCTTCGTTCTTGACGTAATATTTAAGATTTTTGGAACTACTGGTAGATAAAGCACTAAGTCCCCAATATTACACACATCAAAACGTTTCAAACGACGATATTGTAATGTTGTACATTTTGTTGCTATTTTTGCAGCTTTAACCTCTTCTATGAAAGTCAAATACTGTTCACTACTCATGTAACTTTGGTTATCGCCATATTTCGAAGTTATAACACCGTGTAAATCTTTGTTGAAACTTATTTTCATCGTTTCTAATGCTTATTTTAACCGTCATTTTGTAACGGACACAAACCTCCCAGCGCAGAACTGACATTCACACTAACTGACGGGTAGAGTAGTATCGGGCGGGGTGAGGGTACAATCACGCGCGGCGGGCGGCGGACTGCGCGCGCGTAAATCGGCTGCCCCGCCAACCCCTTCCCCGCATCTATACCCCGCTGCCAACTTGACGAACTCTAGTATACCGACTTATTGCAGCGTGCATTTAGTTTTTACCACAGAGCAGAGGGACTCCGCATTAACAGATATTTTGTTAAGTACACAATTTTATATATAATAATATAATAAATAATTGGGAAACGCAAGACAAGAATCTTAAAACAAAACCAAAATGCTTAACTGAACTGAAAACCTAGTTCTAGCCGATGATAAATAGGATACACCTAGGTTTAACCACCAGTGTGTGGCTGCACCTAGTACTAGCCGCTATGATGAAGCCTAAACCGAGTTCTAACCGAAGATAAGTAGGATACATCTGAGTTTAACCGCATGCGGTCGGCTTCGCCTAGTTGTAGCCGGCTAAAACTAGGTGCAACCGCACTTTGGCTATTAGCCGTAACAATATATATATATATATATATATATATATATATATATATATATATATATATATATATACATATATAAAACGCCTTTATCGTGCAAAAATACTACTTGCTGAGATCAATTCCCCTTCTATTCTTATTTTACATATCGTTTTACTTTCTTTCTCAAAATATTCTTACCATCTCTTTAGACTCAAAATTTCATTATTTAGAATACAGTCATTCTGGTCGCGTATAGCATTCAATCTAGGCTGTTTTGAATATCCCTTGGCAGTTCTTACGTATTTTCAGAACATTTTAATATTTTCCTGGAAGTTATCCGATATTCATCTATCATTCTTATCCGTTCTTTATTGTTTTTCCCTTAAAATACTTTTTTTACTCTATTATTTTGACGTTTTAAAACTGCCTCTTTTCTTTTAATATCTCTCGTATCGCCAGAGTTACCAGCCTTGGTTTGTTTGGTATTATTTTTCCATTCATTCATTCTCTTAGTAACACCACATATTTTGGTATCCGTATCCACAATTTCGATAGTTTTTAATTGATTTATTTATTTAGTTCAAAATGTTTGTTTTTAGTTTTTTAATACGAAAAGCTTATTTCAAATTAATAGTGTGTTACGATACTATAAACAGAACGTGGTCAACTTCCTTTGGTATTATGTTATATTTCCCTAGAAAAGAACGTATCTATTTTATTGATTTATTTCCTACTTTCCAGTTGATCCAAGTTCAGCGGCAAATCACACGGGGGCTTGTTTGATATTCTATACTTGGGCATTCAAGAACGCTGTAATTTGTACTTTAGTTTCTTTATTTAGTAACAGCAAAACACTATATTAAACAAAATTGAAGATAATTTAAAAATAGAGTTGTTGATTGGTGAAGCACTTAACTGTGAAAGATATATCGAAGGCAGAATCTACGGATATTACGCGGAGTAGGATTCCCCCTACACCCGTGACTGAAAAGAAGTGGAAGGGAAGGGGTTTCAAATGTTTTGATTCTCAACTATAGTGCGAGTGGTTAATTCTAAACGTGATACTACCTGTGTTTAACAAGTTCCAGTTACTAATCTAGAAGGACGAAGTACGAAGTTTAAATAGATGACTAAAGGAACACCTTAAGAGAAATTCTTTATTGTATACTTTGATAGTTATACGAGATATCATTATGATTGAACTTAGATTTATTATAGATTAAGCAATGCCTTTTTTCATATGGTCTTTTTACACTTTGGCTATAAGGGTATGTGTGTACATAAACTATTATATAAATAAACAAATGACGACTGCCTCGTTGGTCATGTTGTTGTAGTAGTGCGACTGTTGATCATGAGGTCCTGGGTTCGAATTCCGGGTAGGGCTAAAAAATTAATTATTGAATTTTTCCGTCAAGAAATTCTCAGTAGTTGCCCGGAGTCAGGAAGTTGGCGGTTGGTCCTGCACCTGACTCTCTCCGGTCGTGTTGGTTTACCGTCCCATCGGATTATGAGAGTGAGGGAATAGATGATGCACCTGTGCTTGCGCATACACTTGGGCACTATAATCCTGTCCTGCGCCATTGGCTAGCCTCCGTTGAGGCAAGCCGCCGTGGCCGGAATTCGGTCTGGAGGACATTATTATTATTATTAAATAAATAAATAGTTAACGTTAACTAGGCTTGAGTAAAATTTTACTCGAGTACAGAGCAAATCAATACATCTATCTATAATTGATTTTTCACGTGGACCGGCACGTGTAATATAATACGTGACAGATTTACATCACAGCTGTATATCGGCTACAGCTTGAATAGGTTGTCTTGACTGGGGTAGAAATCACGCTTTTACAGAATATCACCGTAAATAGCAGCATAATGCTTCGAGGATTGGAACTTAGTGATGAAAGTTGGAGATTCTTTTTATTGGTAGCCACGTATCTTAACATTTTAATTTTTAGTCGAGGATAGATGGCGTTTGTGGCCAACAGCATCCAATTACCAGCAATTGAACTGTGTGCTCGTTTTACACCCTTACTTGCGCTACCCTTACACTTAGCGGTCAGCCGCCGTAGAGTCAACATCACCTGAAGATGCCTCGTGTAGAGGCGAAACACGTGTCGTATTATTGTCGATGGTGTGTCTTTCCTGAAATAGTGGCGTTGGGAGGAGTGGTGCTGGGATTGGTGGTGACAAGATTGGTGCATGCAATTGAGGAAGGGCGGGAGGTGTTATAGGACTATACACAGTGAAGTGTATAGTGTTAGGTCTTCAATCTAGGTAAGACACATCATTGTATTTAACTGAGCGGATGGTTGCAAGGTGGCTGTTTATATCTTTACTTTACCCTTACTTGTATGAAAATTATCCTAAGCAATAGGATTATACGAATGAAATGATTTATTAGGTTAGTATGCGGCTTCCTTAGGTGCAAGATTATAACATTACATGGTTATATAAAATAACGCAATGTGATGGTAGATTAAGATAATCCATCACACCATTTCGCCTCGTGAGTATCATAAGAGGTGACTTTGGAACAGCTACAAAGTTCCTGTCGCCTCCGATAGATGGCGGTACCTGCTCATTCTTGCCAGACGTAAAACACCCAGACTGTCGACGGGAAGAACCGTCGAAACGTCTGGTACTGCGATTGCCAATTCGCCTGCCGAGAGGGGATTCCCACTAGACTCTCAAAAAAAAGTGTTTTCCAAATGTTTCTTGTTTAATAAAAGGTTTCCATTTTCAAATTTATCAGGTAAGATACTGGTCTGGACTTTTCAAGTATGGATCCAATATCATACGAACTAATATACTATCTTCCTTCTTTTGGTATGCCTTTTGTAATAAATTTTTTTCTTAGACTACTTGTAATCTGTAAAAGCTTATTTAAAATTATCAGCTATAATACGTATTTTGAGATGATTTGCTTAATTTAATTCTACTCCATCTGTCATTTTTTATTTGATTTATACAGTGAAAAATTCTAAAGTTATTTATCATCTTATAGAGGGTTCACTACGTTTAAGTTGGATTGCACATTTCTTTCTCCCGTGCTTCTTATTCCGACCACTGGAACCCAGTCTGCATTTATCAATTTATATTATGAATAAAATAAAATAAAAGAATGTATTAAAGGTATAACGTAATAAGGTATTATTATAGAATAATATATGCAAGCTATTTATGTATACTCTAAGGCTATTGTGATCTATTTATTATTTAATTATTTATGTACTGTATAAAATCATTTGGTAAGAAGTTTGAGAAAAGGTAATTTTTAACTAAACAATATTTTCGTTTCCGCTTTAATATGGCGTGGTAGTTTATTATATATTTTTTCTTTGAGCTATTTATGCTTTTCTTTTTCTTACGTTCTAAATTTACAAACTTTTAGAACAATTAACATGTGCTTATACCTACATATACAAAGTAATAGCTTTGAGTGAAAATTATACCCTGAACCTTCTTTAAGTAACTACTATACATACTTCCAAAAAGCTTAAACGCTTTGAGACTTTTTAGCAAGTTGAAACTTTTATCAAAACAGACGGCGAGTAATCAGATCTCTGTGATATGTCAACAGATTGTAACTTCATACTTTAATTATCAAGAACAGGCTAAACTTTCTTATAACTCGATTAAACTTCGCTGTGGGTTTGACGTGAATTTACACCGCGGCCCCTTCCCAATATAATAATATTTCCTTAAACGAGTTTTTCGCAAAAATATAAAGTTTTCCAAATATTGCTATACTGCGAGATTACATTTTGAATTAAATATATAGTTACAAGATCCTTGTGGTGACAATTTACGCGCAAAGAAAGTGGCAAAAATACTATAGGTAATGTTAGATTACTATTATTGCGTAACTATTATTGTTAGATTAATGTTAGGTTAATAACTATTATATTATTGCTTATAACAGAATTATTCGATTTAACTTTATATTATAACTAGCTG